CTCTGCTGGGATACAGCACACAGGTGTTGGTTCAGAAGGCCGAGCAGGAGTGGATGGGAGGATGATAGTGTTGTATGAAAGGCAGAAAACATCTGGATCTTCAAGGGAGGTAGCTTTTGTATTGGTACCATCAATATGTGCGCTCATGCTGTATATACTTGCCCTTCCAGAACATGATACCAGTACCTGAGAGCCCAAAGAAGGTGTGTTAGAAAAGCTGCAGCAGTAGCTGTGGCCTCTCCTTCCCATCACCTTTGTTCCTCAAGTACAAGGAGGTATGGAGGTCATAAGCCGCCTGCTTTGGCCGAAACATTGAGTGCGTTGGTGAAATCTAGAAGTGACCGTACGAGGGGCCATGTGTACAGTAGGATAGACTTTATTTGCCTTTTAGATGCGCTCGCCTGTGTGTGCTGCAGTAAAAATCACGTGCCTGAAGCTGTCCAACTTAGGCTAATGCTTGAACCATAACTTTTATTTTCCCATGTAGTGTGCTGCTAGGTAAGACCTGACACTTCCAGTTCTCCACGTTGTTCTCTAGAAGAACAGGGGAGGTGGTTTTGAGACGCTTTGGAGTTTGGGCCAGCCGATTCTGAGGATGCCGCGTACACAAAATACTGTGAGCTTTTGCTGCAACTGAAGCTTTTTGCCAAACATACCTTCATCCCACTCTGAGGATGGACAGCAAACTATTAGTGATACAGTTTTAGACTTACTATGCTAGTGAGTATTTCAGAAATGCTTCTGGTTTTTTTATCAAAGTATTACGCACCCAAGGCAAGCAGTAGAGAATGTCTGAGTGATGAAGGTTCAGTGGAGAATTAGCGTGTGGTAGGATTCCAGTTAGTGGTTAGGTAGAAGAGAAATTAAGCCTGAATTCTTTCTCTCACCCCTCTTCCTGGTGCTAAGAGAGCTTAACTGGCCCTCTGTGAATGTGAAGTGGAGCAGAAGAGGAGCGGTCAGTAATCTCTCTTGAGGTGGCATAGGTGTATAACACTGCAAATGTTAGTTTGGCAGTTACATGTGTATATTGTTTTGCTTGAGAGCGCCAAAATCACTGCTGTAGGGATGGGTGTGTTTGCAGAGCTGCCGGCAAGGGAAGTGAGATCTTTGTGCAGCCTTGCTTGCTTGGCACAAGTCCTGCTTCTCCAAATGTCTATTGGGCATAACTAAATTGCTATCGGAGGGCTTTTTTTTAAACTTGTGACTTTTTGAAGTGGCATTTTGTAACCTGATTGCTTGAAAAGCCTAATTAGATGGTTTATTGTCTAGAAATAGCATCTTCTACTAAATTCCAAAAGACATTGCAGTGAAAATTGTAGGTTTGTAGCCGTAGTTCTGAATGTAAACCCTGTTCAGCTCTGAAGGTGACTTTCTTTACTTTCAGATACGAGGCTTTCTGGGGTGGTTTTTTTTTTTTTGCTTTTTAATTAAGAGAAGGTTAAGGTAAGGGTGCCTGGAGCCCTGCGTTAAGAGTCTGTGGTCTGCGGTGGTGTTAGTCTATGGTCGGTGGTGTTTCCGAGTGTGTCAGCAGGCTCACCTGGGAGTTTGGTTTCAGTGCGAGTGCTGTGGGGTGGTGTTACAGGTACATGTCTAGAGGCCCTCTGAAGCAAAGGTAGGATATTAAATAAATTTCTGCACGATTCCCTTGAATGCCCTTTGTCACTGTAAGGGCACACACCCAGGTGTGACACTGGCAAAGGCCCCAGGCCGTTTTATCATTGAGCATTGTTACCTCTTCATGTTTTAAAATGGGGCCTCCTGCCACTGCCAATGATGAAGTTTGCTTTTTTCATGGCTAGAAATATACCAGTCCTAGTCTTGAAACATCCTCCTCCTTACCACCTATACCTAAACATGTAGAGGTCTCAAAAGTGCAGAAGCCCACACAAGTACTCTTCCAAAAATAACCTGCTTGTGCTGTTGCCAGCAAAGCCTCTTGCCTGCAGGTAACCACTTTCCATTGCGGGGAAAGGAAGAAATTGTTGTACGAAACACTGCTGTTGCCTTGAACTTGAGGAAGCCTTATTAACTTCTCTGATCTAATCAGGAGTGCTAGAAATAGCTGCCATCAGCCAAGAGCAGTGTGGTGGTGTGGCAAAGCCTGGGGTACCCCTTCCTCTTTGTGATCCTCACCTCTCGGCAGTGAAGGCTGCCTTCCACAGGATGCAATTTAGGAGATGTGGTGGTTTGGTTTTTTGGGGTGGTTTTTTTTTTCTCCTTCTCCCAAAACTTTGTCTTGGATAAATTCTTGTAGAAGTGGTGATGCTCCTGGGGGTGTATGGAAGGGCTGGGCGACTGGCACCTAGCACGGCACACAGCTCTCTGTTTCCCCCCTCCTGCTGCAAGGCCTAACGAGTTAGGTTTCCTAAATGATGGTGCGTGTTTAGATGACATGTTTAAGGGGGACCGTGCATGATGTGCACCTCGTTACTTCACTCCTGTTAGCCTGTTAGTGTTCATTCTTGTTGACCTTAATCAGCTTATTTATTGTTTACCTAGTGGGTCTAATCAAGTCCTTTTGCTGAGTTTCGACTTGGGATTCTCCTGCCTCACCTCTCTCATTCAGGCTGCTGGGGTAACTCGTCTGGGTAGGAACAAAATTCCTGGCACTTCAGGTACTGTCCAGCGAGTCGAGTACCCATATGTCTGTGCCTCTGCCAAGGGCTGGAAAAGCCTGGACAAAGTTTAAATAATTCCATAACAAAATTTAAGCGTTTCACCCAGAATTGGACACCTAAAAATCCATTTAAATTAAATCAAGTCTTGTTCGGAAAGAATCCACAGTAAAGCGGATTGTATGAGAAATAATGGAGGGGAGCGAATGTCTTTTAGAACAGAAACTAACTGCGGGTGGGTACCGAGGGAAGAAATGTGGCAAGCCAGAGAGACCACTCGAATCCTGTAACGTAGAAGAATTGCATTCAAGCTGGATGGTGACTTCTGTTAAAACACAACTTTATTATTTAGTTGAAAGAAGATTGTAGTATGCTTTTTTTTTTTACTTTATCAGTTTTGGTTAAAAGACAAAAAAAAAAAGGTAGTTTTGAGGTGCGTGTGAGTTGCACGAGTGTGGTGTGAAACCGGAACATTTCATCTAGCACTTCTGTTCCTATTTAAAATACAGCTCTGAGGCCTCGCACAGCTGCAGCTGTTGGTTCGTATAAAAGTACATTCTTAATTTATGGGGTTTAAAATCTTTAAGGCAGCTCCCAGGCACTGATCTTCATGCGGCCTCCCTGCTTGGAGGCCAAACCTGCCCAATTGTGCCGAAAACTGATGAAGCGTGGTTAGAGGGGACCCAAATTGCATGCGTACGGGAAGGAGTTCGGCTGGTACCGCTGCGTGGCCTGTGCTGGTGAAATTCTGTGTCGTGCCTGCTCGGTCGAGTCCTGAATGCTGCCTGTGTGGGACGGGGAGAAGGAATAAGGTATTGCCGCTCGCTGGCCAGAGGCAGGTTGCTGTTATCTCCTTCCACAACACCCCAGTTTCATTCCATAGCTGACCCAAAGCGAGAGATCCCTTCCCGGGTGGGTTGCTGCACTCGGGCTGGTGTAGCTCTTGCCTGGGGGAAATGCTGAGCGTGGGGAGAAGGGAAAGCTGTGATGGAGGTGATCAGAAGCTGGGGCTTGATATTTGTGCTGGGCGGGGAAACGGGAGCTGGGTTTTTTGGGGAGGTTTCTGGGATGGCGCTGCAGGTTCCCCCCGCAGGGTACCAAACAGACCCAGCGATTCCTGTTGTACAGCAGCAGCAGTTTGAACTTAGTCTTTTTTTATTTTCAAATGTGACATTATGACATTAACGAGACTCAACTCTTTTTTTTTTTTTTTTGTAAATTGTTTTCCCTTTCTGTGTATAAACCCTTGGCCGCTCCTTGGTTTGGTTTTTGGTTTGGTTTTTGTTACATGTTCATGCTGTGTAATTTTGAGATGTTACTGAGATTCTGAACATAATAATGTGCATTTTTTTTTCTGTACAGATGAAATGGGAGAATTTAATAAAAAGAGTCTGCAGGTTTTTACTTGTTGTAGTTTATTTCTTAGGCCTCGTCTCGCGCCCGCCTCCGGGGGGGCGGGGAGAGGGGCGTGGGATCGCTCAGCCACGCCCCCAAACGCAGGGCTCGGGAGATTGGCCGGCGGGTGGGTGACGTAGCGCGCAGGGGCGGCTGTCGCGCCGCGGCTGGCG